CCCAGCTACCTATATAACCACGGACGTCTTCTATAATTCCCGTTGCTCTCAGCACCTCGAACATCACTAATAGCACCTGAGCCCCATCGCCCCGTTCACCGCAAACGTAAAAACATGCATTTAGCTCCGTTCATCATCACGGCTGGGCTCTCCGCTGCGGCGATCATTCCCCGACAAACCAATACCTGCGACAACCCTATCAAGCGCGTAGAATGGCGAGAGTTGGACCCGACTCTCCAAACCCAGTACATCGACGCTCTCTTGTGTCTCAAGACCAAGCCGTCTGAAATAGGTCTCAACACGACACGCTACGACGATTTCCCCTATGTGCATACCCACCTTGACAAAAGCAGTGCGTATCATTCCAATACCCTTAACACCCCGGTCAAAACTAACCACCCACAGTCCACACGGTGGCCATGTTTCTCCCCTGGCACAGGATGTTCGTTCAAGTCTACGAACAAGCCCTGGTTGATTGCGGCTACACTGGTCCCATGCCGTGAGTTCCTTGCTCCTCACACGTGAGATCCAGGTATCTAACCCGGACATTCTACATAGGTATTGGGATTGGACGCTCGACACGGCGGATGTGACTAGGTCTCCCATTTGGGACCCGATCCACGGATTTGGCGGCAACGGCGACCCCAGCGTCGATCCCTGGACCGAAAGCAGCAAGAAAAAGTGCCTCGTGGACGGACCTCTGCAGGGCGTCGTGCCCGCCTACACGATGGGGGGATATGAACCGCACTGCCTGGCCCGGAACTGGAACAACGGAACTGCCTTTCCCGGAAACATGTTTGCTCAGCATTACACGACCGAGGCTGTGGCGGCCATCCACGCTCTTGAAGACTACGCATCCTTCCGCTACCAGCTCGAGGGTGGGCCGCACGGCGCCGTTCACTCTGCCGTCGGCGGCGATATGATGCCTGCTACATCGCCGAACGGTACGTGTTGGCATGACTGGTACACATTCCTGCAGTACAGAACTGACGACCCTTATATTTCAGACCCCATCTTCTTCCTCCATCACACCCAGGTCGACCGGCTGTGGGCTCTCTGGCAGCAGGAGAACCCCGTGGCTCGGAACATGGACTTTGCTGGCCCAAAGACCCAGGACCAGAACACGACAGAAGCCACACTCGACGATATCATGCCGTTTATGGGTATTACGCCGGATATCAAGGTGGCAGAGGTCATGGAGATCGGGACGCCCCGACTCTGTTACAGTTATTAAGAACGGGTGCCTGGAGGGGTTTGACCGTTTCTCACAGCCCCCATGATACATTTGTTGTAATTAGAGAATGCACTAAATCGGCCTTCTCCAAACGTCCCAACTAGATACAGATGTGTTATGTTCCGAGTTACCGCGTTTCGTCCCGGACCTTGGCTGGGAGATGGGGTCCGGGGACATGAACAAAATAAACACATTTTTTACGACAACGTAGTGCAATGCATCCCAGAGTATGCTCATAGTTATCAACAACTAAAACAGAATATGTACAGAGAACCTCAGGGCTCGCCCTCCCCATACACCCACCCACTGAACCTAACTCCGGTCATACCTCCCCCTAGCCCTCGGCTCCGCCGTCGGTGAAGCCCTCCCACTGAAGGGCGCCGTCTCGGTACCCCTCAACACTACCACCGGCGTCCCCTCCGCCTCGAACAAACTAATCGTCTGCTCCGCATACGGCACGGGCGTCGCCCCCGCCACCACCGTCGGCCCTGGCACGACATACGACTTCAGCCCAGCACTCACATTCAACCACACGCCGGG